AACACCTGTAGCTGACCTTGTTCGCATTGTCCTAGACTGCTCATAGCCTTCAGCTTGGCGATGATCAGGTCGACTGGTTGGGCCGCCTCCCCCTCCTATCACCGAAACCCTCCCGGAGTATGCAGATGGATGCCGGCCCAAGCGTTACCCCACCGACCGTTGAGCCTGTCCTTAAGCCGATACTAACTGAGGGGAGCTTGACAGCAGCAGCTTTCGGAGGGTCTACAATAGAAGGTCTGAACTCCGTAGGGCTAAATAGTTTTGCGAAGTCGGAGTCCTCAGGAGTTTCAAGGGCGTTGGATCAGTACACTAGGATCATCGACCTCTACATCGCGTGTGAGGGCATTCCTGAGAGGCTCGGCAACGACTGCATTTTGCCTCGATCGAAGCACCAGTGCTTTTTTGAAGGGGAGTCGAAGCTCATTCCAGTCGAGGTGGTCGATTTCTTCAATGCTGTCAATGACAAAACCAAGTGGGGTCTTAAAGGGTGAGCAAGGCGATCATCAAGCATTGGCTAATCGGGTCTTCAGAGTTGAGGAGAGGGAGTTGTCGGACTACCTCTATGACTTCACTAACGGCAACGGTGACGTGGCCTTTCCAGTAGTGGAGGCCTTCGAGAAGCAGCATGGTTACGTCAGTCTGGACGTCTCCTCTCTGTTCCGTTTCTGGGCTGGCCTGACTCCCTACCAGAAATCTTCTTATCGCCTCAGAGGATTGAGTCGGCTGCAGGCATTAGATGTCATAACGAGGATAGCGGAGCGGAGGATTGTGGAAAGAAGGGAGGCTATGGAACTGGAAAAACAGGCGGAGCGAAACCGTCTTGAGAGGTGTGGAGTTCCTGAGGTCTTTATTCAATGACAGCGAACATATATTTCTCCAACATCGCAACGAAGCTCATTGCAATTTTAGAGGAACATATATTTGCTTTCCTGAGCTAAGCGCAGGAGTTTGCTGACTAGTTATAGGAGTTTATATGAAAATTCGGGAAGAAGTGTCCAGAAAACCAACGAGAATTTCCCAGATGTTCATCATGTCAGCAGCACATGTAGTTCACTCTGTGTATATTTTCTCACACTGCTTTATTGTAGGTCCAGACTGAGATACCTCAACACCTTGCCGACCCCGCTATACGAGCTGGCCCGTCCCAAAGGGGCCTCGCTCGGTGTTGAAGCTGATAAGACTGCATTCCGTCTCT